GGGACGCGGGGAGGTAGAAGCTTGTCACTGTGGTTATTCCGGGACCCTGAGGTGCTGCACCATACAACAAAACTACACGTATATGGACAGATGTGCACCCGTATGTATACCGTATAAGTGTGTATGTGCGCATACGGATATACATATACTGTGCTTGAACATTTACGTATGGACATCTGTGAAGGCACCTGCAGTTCTAAGAGCTCCTGGGGAGCTGTTTGGTTTTTAACAGCTTGGTTCTCATCTGGGAATGGAAGTTAACATAAAATGAGGACGTACCTTTGCAGTGATAATACCACTATGAAGATTAAAACGTGCCCTCCTTGGAGCCGTAGTTTCTCACCTATGGCTTATTTAGCTCTTCCTCCAACAGGAGGCACTGACTGGTCCTTTGGGGTTGCAGGCATAAGGTCTGCTAGAAAGAGTGTGCAAGGAAAAGGTTAGATTAAAGGTGGAGTTTTTCTTGCTGTGTGACTTTTATTTAATGAAGGGGATTATTGCTGTTGTGCAAATGGATAATACTAATATGTTGCTCACAACAGGTCTTCTCATCAGATGTAAAAAAAAAAAAGGTAGTTTTCACTCATTCATTTCCTTGTAGGTAACATGTTTCTGTTGTCTGTAATGTTAAGGTCTATGAAACCAGTCCCTGTTACATGAGATGATATGAAAGAAAAGTCCAAAATACAACATGAGAGAACTCCCAATGATAGCTCTCAACCTGGCACCCTTTTGAGATTGTCAGTAATAAAGCCAAGGGCCTACTGAGTCCCTTCTGAGATACAGTCCTGCAGACTTGGCCTGATGCATGTGTGTAAGACTGGACTAAGGACTCTCATATGAATGTATTTTTTTCTTTCCTAAGGTTACATGTCCTGGTGTGTTCCTGCCTGAGAAACATGATGTTTTTCTCAGTGAGTGCATCTTGGGTCAACACAAAGAGACAGAAAGCCTTCGTCCTGTTTTCCCTCTCTTGTTTCATGAGAAGATGTGCTTTGAAAAGGTGACTTTCAGTTGTTAGATGCCTTGGGCTAGAAGGTCTAATGTCTCAAGCCTTGTACAAGCTGTAGTTCATGCATAGTCTTATTTTTCTTTATAGCTGATAGGTTATTCTTGTTTCACATGTATTTCAACATAATAAGATGAAGTATTAGACCCATTCCTGGAATGGAATAGATTTTAACATTTCTTTAAGATTTTATGGCCTGGAGCTTTGACAGCAGTGGTTATGAGAGGTCATCTCTTACGTGGACAGTTCTTACCTAATCTCAGTAATGGTGACAGTGTATATGAGGGTAATTGAATTTATTCTGTTTCAGATATGATTGGTCTGGAGGCAATATGATACCTCAATTCTAATATGACTATCATCTATTCAAGATTTTTGTCATTACAGCAGATGTGATGTAAATGAAGATCCAAATAAATGGTAGCCAAATGGTTTTGCTGCCATTTTACATACCATACTAACACCTGGAACTAATGAGAACAGGAGTCTTCACTGTGTTCCTGTACTCTACTGTATGCTCATCAGTTATGGTTCTGGTGAATGGTATTTTGTGTTGGAAAACTGTTTTTTAAAAATGGTGTAAGAATGACTATGTCTATTGACAAGCAAAACCGTGCTGAAGCCATTGCAAAACAGGAATAGACAAAGTTTAGAGGAACAGTGTCTTTCTTATCTATTTCTTTCAGACTCTTCTCTATTCTTTTTCAAACCACTCTCTCTACCTGTCTGTTTCTCTAAAATTCTTTTGCATCTGGCTCACAAGAGGTCTTTCCTTGGGGGACGTGATTACTTTCCCTTTCCCCCTGCAGTTATTATTGACACACGTGAAAAGCTACATAGTTAATACCTCTGAAAGCTACAAAGTATAATTTTCATTAACACCTTCACTCTGTCTCAAGGCGAACACAGCTCTGAACACATGACTCTTCACTCTCTCTGCAATAAAAGCCCACAGCCACGTTCTGACCAGAGGTGGGTAATATAACCCACTTCTGTAGAAGAGTAGTTTCTCGTACACTTACCTAGTCATAAGAGGAGCATCGAAGTAATTATCATGAAGTAGATGTTGTTAGATAAGTTCATCTTTTCTCTTACCTCACAGTAATGTGTTTTCGTGCCTGTGACCTTCATTAGTAGGTGTTAACTAGCATGAAGCAACACATTTTCTTAGGGAAAGCATGACTTTGCACAGCTCTCTCAAAGAAGACTATTGCTAAAATATTGTCTGAAAACACTGATACTGTTTGAAGGAGGATGTTGGCACATTCTAAAGAAACAAAAAAGCAGCAAATATTGATAAAATAAGTGGGATGCAGCTGACAGCAGCTTCTTTAGATAGCTAGAATGTCCAGCATGGATGCCCAAATAAAATCAGTGGTAAAGTTCCCAGTTAACTTCAAAGGGGTCAGAATTTCACTCCAAGGCATGAGAAGAGTATCTTTGAATAAGACATAATTCACTGTAGTAAAATAGACAAGAACTAAATTCAGCCAAATGCATTTGAATTTGTTTCTTAAAAGACATTTCATAGATGATATCTTAATTAATTTTATTTTTATAAGATATTCAGACAATCTTTACATAATACATAGAAACATACAGGAAAACTTCCTCACACCTTCTCATTTGTCTATAATCCCTATGGAAGATTACCTGTGCTTTAAGGTGCTTGCAGTTAGGGCTTTTTATTTTTTCTTTTGGGATGTGTCCTATAGGAATGGCCAAGAATTCA